AATCTTCTGGGGTCCAGAACACAGTTTTAGCAAGGAGTTGAGAGGAATGCTTTCTAATAAATTCTGAGAAATGCTTTCTGATTTTAATTGACTCAGTGGTGTAGAACATATTAACTGGAATGGGATCTTTGCCACCTTACCCATCCTACTGAAGCTACTACATTCCCCAAAAAACCATGCCTGAAGATTGGGGTTCATCAGGATGGCATGAGCTATGCCAGCAGATATACCTGGAGAAGGGGAAACCATGCATCCACATCCCATAGAGTTTTTGCTTTATTTGCTTCTGCAAAGGGCAAGAGTGGTTTTTGCAGCTCTTCCCACCATCTGCATTCCTACAGATTCCCTGATCCTCAGGACCAGTTGAGAAGGGGGGAGGATGGGGGGCTCCAATGGAAAAGCAGTTGGCAAAACTACCTTCCATGAACTTTGTCCATGAATGCTGTCACAGTTCACAGCATTTCAGCCTTGATGTTCCAGGGTTTCCCAGATATATTATGGTGATGAGTACTTGGACTGGGAGAATTATTTGTTGACCTTCTGGTCAGCTGTTTTTTGGGTTGTTTTGGAAAGTAATTAAATTTGATTTTTCAGACAGGGTATCCTAAAACATATGACAATGAAGGAAGTTTAACAGATAAGTCTTATGTACAGTTACTCCAATCTCAATCAATTGATTTTAGTGTGTTTAGACTGGAAAACCTCTGCACAGGATTGCAATAAGGGACAGGATATTCTGATAAATGGTTTCCAGGACTCTCCATATGCAGGGAACCATTTTTATATTGATTCGCATCCTGAGGAATGTTTACTGTGGAATCCTTGTATACCATGTAAGCTTCATGTGGATATTCTAAGGTGCAGTGATTATGTGCATAATTGTGCCAATGAGGTCCATTGCACCTTTTATTAAATATCAACTGATGATGTGCAATTTTCCTGTGGATGAAGTGGAACATCAGTAATGTCAGAGCAGCTGTCTTCAGCATTAGCAAGGTTTTCATTGAAAAACTTCTGATAGGTTTTTTGAGTATCCCAGGACTCCTAAGAACCTTAGTTTGAAACTGGTCTCATGCGGAAGTTCATGTACTAGTAGAAAACTTTACAAAACTTTAAACATGTTGCGCTACGTTGTTGTGTATACCTGTAGCTAAGAAACTAGAGAATCTTTTATGACCAGAATTGAGCTAGATAGATTCTTGAGCACACAGGGCTCTTTGCTTGATTTAACTACTGATTTCTTAGTAAACACTGGCAACTTTGAGTGACCAGTTTTAATGGTATTTTCCTCCCCACGTGACTTTGTTTAAAATGTTTTGCATTTATGAATCCTGGCTTAACAGTTGCTAATATGCTTTAATAAAAGTTTTGTTACACTGAAATATTAATATTATTGAAATCTTTTTACTTGGTTAGCTTAGATGTTGGCAGAATAAGTTAATATAGAATGAGATCCCATTACAGAATCCAAGTATCCAGAGACATTCTTATAAAACTAGCTTCAGTAGGGAAGTTCTGTTGGTCTGCAGTAGAAGAACTTGATAAAGTCCAGTAGCACCTTAGGCACCAACAAGATTTTGAGGTATAAGCTTATACCCCCAAAATCTTGTTGGTCACTAAGGTCCTACTGCACTCGAATCTAGGTCTTATAAAATAGTTTAACAGTGGTCTGAAAAACTCATGCAGTATATTATATGAAAAAACTAATATAATGGTTGATGAATCCTTAATCCATATACAAGCAGAATATTACCTTAAAATTTAAGTAAACAAAGGTTGACAAACATTCTGTAGTAGAGAATACACAAACACAACAGGCAAATCCAAAAATACGTAATAGAAAATCCTCAGTTTCAGAGGTTTTCATAGACTTCATCAAGAAAAACAGTTCAACATTTATGGAGTAGAGGTGTAAAGTGACTGTCGTCCCACATTGGGAAAGCAGCTCTTTTATATTTTTATTTATTTATTTAATTTTTAGACTCCCTTTCCCTGTGGACAGGGCTCAGGGTGGTGTGCATTATGTCATAAATACATTTATACATCACCATAAAATTGAATCAAACCGTTAAAACAATTAAAGAGTAAAATTCAGCTATATTAAAATGGTATTGACATCTTATGTCTTTTTTCCATGAGGGAGCGGAGAGATGGAGGAGGCCAGGCTTGTTGGTAACTGTTGCTGTCCTCAACCGTAGGCCTGGCGGAACATCACTGTCTTACAGGCCCTGCCACTGTTGACCCCCCCAAGCACCAAGAAGACAGAGCATCACTTGCCCCAGAGCCCCTAGCTATACCTTGTGGCTAATAGCCACTGATGGACCTCTGCGCCATATGCTTAGCTAATTGCCTTTTGAAGCCGTCCATGCTTGTAGTCGCCACTACTTCCTGTGGCAGTGAATTCCATGTGTTAATCACTCTTTGGGTGAAGAAGTACTTCCTTTTATCCGTTCTAACCCGACCGCTCTGCAGTTTCATGGAGTGCCCACGAGTTCTTGTATTGTGAGAAAGGGAGAAAAGTACCTCTTTCTCTACCTGCTCTATCCCATGCATAATCTTATAAACCTCAATCATGTCTCCCCTCAGTCGTCATTTCTCCAAGCTAAAGAGCCCTAAGCGCTTTAACCTTTCCTCATAGGGAAAGTGTTCCAACCCTTTTATAATTCGAGTTGCCCTTTTCTGCACTTTTTCCAAAGCTATAATATCCTTTTTAAGGTGTGGTGACCAGAACTGCACACAGTATTCCAATGAGGTTGCACCATTGATTTATATAGGGGCATTATGATATTGGTTGATCTGTTTTCAATACCCTTCCTAATAGTCCCCAGCATAGCATTGGTCTTCTTTATTGCAGTCACACACTGTCTCGACATTTTCATAATGACATGGCCTGAATGTCATTAGGCAGTGAGTTCCACCAGGTTGGTGCCATGGCTGAAAAGGCTCTGGCTCTTGTTGAGGACAGCCAGATGTCTTTCGGGCCAGGAATCACCAGGAGGTCCTTCTCTTCAGAGCATAATGCTCATTGGGGCGAATACCAGAAAAGGCAGCCCTTGTAAGCTGCCCTGAGCCCGCTTGCAGGGAGGGCGGGGTAAAAATGTCTAGGTTTAGGACCTTGAAGGCTAGTACCAGAACTTTGAAACTTATCCGATACTCAATCTCAAGCCAGTGTAGCTGGCAAAGCACAGGATGAATGTGCCCTGTCAGTGGGGTCCCAGTATGGACCCAGGCTGCTGTATTCTGGACCAGGTAAATTCTGGGTCAGTCTCAAGGGTAGTCCTGCATAGAGTGAGTTACAGTATTCTAGCCTGGAGGTGACTGTTGCATGGATTACTATGTCTAGGTCAGAGAGAGACAGGGAAGGAGCCAGTTTCCTAATCCATTTGTGATCTGGGCCTCCATCGATAAGGAGGTATCCAGATGCATACCCAGGGTCTTGGCGGTCAGCCAATGTTTCCTCTAAGCTGAGTTAGTGTGAGCTAGCTCAGTTTTTAAGCCTCTGGCTCACACATTTTTGTCTTAGCTCAGGAAGGATGCAGTAGCAAACTAATTTATGCAGTAGCCATATCGCTCACTCACAACTTTAATGCCAGTAGCTCATGTAGTAGAATTTTGCTCACAAGACCCCACAACTTAGAGGGAGCATTCTGCACAAGTGTCAAAGATACATTATCAAGAGCCAGGAGTTAGCACCTCAATCCTGGAACCCCCTACCCAGCCACCGCACCTCTGTCTTCAATGGATTCAGTTTCAGCTGGCTTCAGCTATCTAACCATGGCCTCCAGCCCTTCAGCCAAGATAGATAGGGCAGCATCCAGCCAGCTGTCTGTCAGCAGATACAGCTGGGTGTCATGGGCATACATTCCTTGCCAGCATATAGATGTTAAACAACATTGGGGAGAGGATAGCCCCCCAAGGGACCCCACATACCATGGGGTATCAGGGTGACACCCTCTCTCCTAGTGCCACCCTCTGTCCCTGATCCTGGAGAAATGACGTAAGCCACTGTAAGGCCACCTTATGGACTCCTATGCTGGCGAGGCAGTGGGTCAATAGGTCATGGTCAGCCATGTCAAATGCTGCTGTCAGATCTAGCAGTAACAGCAGCACCAACCCACCTTGGTCCAGCTGCCTCTGGAAATAATCTGTGAGGGTGACCAGCGCCATCTCCATCCCATGACCAGAGCACAAGCAGGACTGGATTGGTTCCAGGGCCGACATGTCTTCCAGGAAATTCTGGAGCTGCTCCACCGCTGCTCTCTCAATTACCTTGCCCAGAAACAAAAGGTTCCAGACTGAATGGTAATTGTCAGGATCTGATGGATCCAAAGATGATTTCTTTAAGAGTGGTGTTACCCCAGCTCTTATATGTCTTATTAAAAATAATTATATTGTGTCTGACTGTTCAACACATCCCCCTGAGGAAGATTATGAGAGGTGTCGGGGAACTGAGAATAACCACCTTTTAGGCTTGGTCTTTTGTGCATTTTCAGAGTCCCGTATTCTTTTTTGTTCTTGCTTCTACATTCCAGCAAAAGAGAATTATCACAAATATTTGCTATTCTACCTTTTTCATCTGTGGACTAGATGATATATACTCATGAGGGAAAATGTTTACTTGGGGGAAAAATTAATGTTCTGGAAAAGAATGGTTATAGTCATAACTTACATTATTGGGTGTTTTGGAACTGTTAGAAATCCTCACCACTTCTATGTGATATTATAGCCTTTTCAATTTCTTATAAGGCTGTATGTTTCCTCTGGATCTTTATATCTGTGCCTATATTCATTCTGGTATGAATCTTATTAAATGATTCACTGTGATATGCCCTAACAGCTCTATGTTGTATATTTAAATTTCAATATAATAAAGACACATTTTGCCTGCTTGAAAAAATAGAACAAACAGTTTGCATAGCCTAACGATCTTGCTTCTGCTAAAGGAGAGATGATAGCCAATAAGGACTGTATTTTTATCATCTCTTTTATTTTAAATTCAGTCACCTGCAGATCGGTGTAAGAAAATCCATGCTGGAGATGAAGTGATTCAAGTTAACCACCAAACTGTGGTATGTATAATTGAATTCTGTATCACTTGAAGATAGAGGCGTGCAAGCTAATCATTAGCATATATTAAAATGTAAAGAGATTTTTAAAATTATTCATTTTGTCATTTTTATGCTAAAATAAAGAAACTATGAAAGACTGGCAAGGACTATGTAAAACTGGCAATATAATTAATTAATTTCCATGATCCAGAGAGACTTTAAAAAAAAAAACAAGCAGAGAGCACTGTGTATTTATGAAGCTGTGTCTTCCATAGTCAAACTGGAGATTGAGTGGATACCAGTCATTATCTGCAGTATCAAATGAAGCTTAGATATTCTTGTCTTTGAACAGTGTAGGACTACACATACTAGCTATCAGGTTTTTTGTAGGCTTGTGGTTAATATAAACTAAATTTTACTTTTCTTGGTAACTCACAACCCTGTTTTGTGGCATACACTCATCTGGAAAACTTACAGTGTAGTCCTAAGGAGAGTTACACCCTTCTAAGTCACTTGAAATGAGTGGGTTTAGAAGGATATAACTCTGCTGAGAATGAAATAGTCGGTGTTACAAAAGAAAATTCACGCTGTTGCCATTAATTTGGTGCCTAGTGAAATACGCAGTGATTCTGTGGATATTTTAATTTTGATTCGATATTTTAAAAATTATATATTCAATATTTAGTAAAGGTTTCCCTTGCTTGAAAGCCAGTTGAATCCAACTCTAGGGGGCGGTGCTCATATCTGTTTCCAAGCCAAAGTGCTGTCCGAAGACATTTCCGTGGTCATGTGGCCAGCATGACTAAACGCCAAGTTGCACGGAACGCTGTTACCTTCCCACTGAAGCAGTACCTATTTATCTACTTGCAATTTCTTGCTTTCGAACTGCTAGGTTGGCAGGAGCTGGGGACAGAGACGGGAGCTCATGCAGCACTCAGGTCTCAAACTGCTGAAGAACAGACCTTCCAGTCTGCAGCTCAGCGTCTTAACCTCTGAGCCACCACAATATTTACTGTTTCCTAAGGTGCTGAATATTCCCTTTTCTCATGTATTTCAATTAATGTTATATTATTTTGTCTAAAAGCCTATGTGCTATGTCGACTTCCTCAAATAAATGAATGATATAGGGGGGAAAATGAAGTTGTGGGGAAAACAACATGAATATGAATTCCTACTTAGTTAGCGCATAGGTAGCGCATAGTTAGAAGCATCATATATATATAAAAGCCCAGCATATTGGCCCTTTCCGACTCCCCCATTGGCTGTGCTGTGCACTCCATCAGCCATTTGCCCAGCAACCATCACTCAAGAGTACTTGCATGCCATTGGCTGGGTGCTTGGTCTGCTCCTCTCCCCTGCCCACTGCCATTCCCTGTCTGAATAAACTGCCAAAACTGCCATGTGGCTCACTTTCACCTCAGTGGCTGTTGCTAGGCAACCAAGCTTGGCTCGGTCAGTAAAAAGGCAAAAGCAGGAGGCCCTTTCCAGGCCTACTTTGGCCTTTGTGGGGAACTCATTGGGGCCACTCCTTACTAGGGTTGCCAGCTCCAGGTTGGGAAATCCTTGGAGATTTTTTGGTGGAGTCTATGGAAACCCGTGTTTGGGAATGGGAGGCCTCAGCTGCATAGAATGCCATAGAGTCTACCCTCCAAAGTAGTTATTTTCTTCAGGGGGAGACCTAGGTTCTTGCTGTGGAAGCTGAGTTGGGTGATTTTGGACCAGTCACAGACTATCAGCCTAACCTACTTCACAGGGTTGTTGTGCGTATCAAAAGGGGGTGAGGAGAATTATGTAAGCTGCTTTGGTCCTCACTGCAAAGACTGTACTTTTCCTCCTGGGGAACCATTGTAGCCAATCTTTAGGTGAGGGCTGGAGATCACTAAGAATTACAACTGCTCTCCAGATGGCAGAGCTCAGTTCCCCTTGCGAAAATGGTGGACTCTGTGTCATTATACTCTGCAGAGGTGGCCCCTCTATGACAGCCAGTGTGACATAGCAGTTAGTGTTTTAGAGCAGGGTCTGCCAGTCCCAGGTTTTTGCTGTGGAAGCTGATTTCAGGCCACTCACAGACTTACAGCCTAACCTACCTTACAGGGCTGTTGTGCAGATCAAAAGGGGGAGAGGAGAATGATGTGGGCTGCTTTGGTCCCCAATGCAAAGAAAGTCTGTACTTTTCCTAGGTAGAGGCTGCAGGGAAGGGGGAAGGAGATGGAAACCTGAAATCAGAGGGGCAGTTAACAGTACCATGATGGTTGGCTAGGGAGATAGGGTTGCCAACTCCAGGTTTGGAAATTCCTGGAATTTTGAGGGGTGGAGCCTGGAGAACGTGGGGTTTGAGGAGGGGTGGGACCTCAGACAAGTACAGTGTCGTAGACACCACCCTCCAAAACAGCCATTTCCTCCTGGGGAACAGTTGTTCCCAATCTTCATGTGAGGGCTGGAGATCACTCAGAATTACAAGTACACTTCTGATGGCAGTTCCCTTGGAGAAAACAGTGGACTCTGTGTCATTATACACTGCTGAGGTTGCCACAAGAAATTGACGCTGAGTGCCCAAGGCTGGGGCACCCAACCAGAGCCCCTTTCTAGAGCTTGTTCTATTTATTTCCACAACGAGCCTTATTCCAAGTCATAGGATGAGTGATCTGGGAAGGTATTGCTTTTTCCCCTGCTTTGTTCACATGGAAAGATAAAGGGAAAGAGGAATTTCTTCACATTAGGTGGTTGCTTCCAAAACCTAGTTTGGGAATGGGATGGATTCTGGGAATGCTTCCAGGTATATCCTGGATCCATGTTCACCATGTCAAGCCACCCTTCACTTAACATGTACTGCTACCATTCCATAGGTTTTTGTCTGTCTCTGGCCACATATCTGAAGCTGCCACTCCTTTTTTCAAGAAACTAGATAATATGGACAGCAGAAGGCTAATACAGATAATTTTCTAGGTTTGTGGACTTCTAGTCAAAAACATTATATTAAGATGCAGATATGACTGGCAGAATTTGTGGAATTATTTTCAATATACTAATGGTTTGAATCCAACTTAAAATCCTCATTAAATAGACATAAGAGTAGGAATGGAACCTTGATCTTCAGATTCAGTAAAGTTCTGTCTTTGGGGGTGACCTCTGTGCCCTACTTGTAGGCTAGGGTTGCCAAGTGAATTTTACCGGCGGGGGAGCCTCACCACGCTCTGGGAGCCGTCCCTCTTCGCGCGCGCCGCCAGCACGTCACCGGAAGAGACATGCGACGTCTATCACATTGAGGGCATGGCCCCGATCGTTGGAGGGAAAACCATAGAGTTTTCCCTCCGACGATCGGGGCCACGCCCCCAACATGATCGACATGGTTGCATCACCTCTGATGACGCAGCTACGCTGCGCTTCGGGGGGCAGAGTTCCCCCCGGGATCCGATTCCGTGGCGACAGAAATTGGGCCTCCAAAGCGGGGGTTTACCCACCCCCCGCCTCCACTTGGCAGCCCTATTGTAGGCCTCCAGGGACATCTGGTTGACAACTTTGTGAAACAGAATGCTGGATTGATCCAGCATAACTTCTTTTAAATTCTGCATTGTGTTCTTTTGTAACCATCTTCCCACCTGACGGGACTGTTCCAGCTTGCATTTCTACATACAGCATTTCCATTTTTTTCCAGCCATTCCTCACTCAGATTTCAGGATGGCTTTATGATTCTCTGTAACTATTGGGTTGGATTAAGAGGCAAAATATAAGGCTATTCGGGTTGGATTAAGAGGCAAAATTATAAGGCTGTTAGTTATTCTAGGAAGCCAGTCTGCAGAAGAAAATGGGGGGAAAAACCCCTTTGCTTGCCCATGCTGGTAGATGGGGCTACAGACACTGCTGGGGAAGTGGCAGAAGCCCAGGCTTTGGTTCATTGTGATAGGCATCCTGTATGCCCTACAAATATATGTTGGAGATTTAACAAAGGTCAGTAATGATAGCCATCTTCTCTGTGTGAGGGAAACACTGATTTTATTTGTGAGATCTTCCAGACATCTTTAAAAGTAGCATAGGTATTTAAAAATAGCACAGAAATGCCTAACATGCATGAGTTTAGTGCAAAAGAAAAAGAGCATGTTTGTGTGAGGAACTCCAATGCTGCTCATCCTCTGCCCTTTACCTTACTGCACTCTGCTGTTGAAAGCATATTTGAATGGAGGTAAGGAAGAGTGCTTACCTTGTATAATTGTGTTTAAATGTAGAATCTGTGTGAGAACACTGAGAAATATCATGCCAATGCATACCTTCCTGTGCCAGCTCTGCAAGAACAGAATGGTGATATTTATTCCTGCCTGAAGTTTGGCAGGTACAATCTCTTAAGTGAGTAGTTCTAAGTTCATCCCTTTCGAGTGAAGTAGAGGAGGGAAGTTAAACCTGAAAATGTGTTTCTTGTTGAAATGAATGGTGCTGACTATTGGATTGAATTCCTAATATGATTAGTTTAATCCCAGAATTAAGAAGCTAACTCAGTCCTTTTTCCCACTTTATGGTTTTGTTTTGTTTTTGCACACCCTATTGTAGAAGTGGTGTCTATGTTTAATTTTAATTTGTTTAAGCTAGTTTTACATAGACTTTTAAGTGCTCTAAACTGAACCAACAAAAAATGTATATGTACCAGTGAGCAGAATGGATTATACTTTGTGTGAAGGGTCATGGCTGGCACTAGTGTGGAATTTTTACATGTGTGAGGAGCTGTTATCACACATTATACTGTCTATATGTTTGTGAAATACCTTCTGCCTCCGGCTGCATCTCCTGTGCCACATTGCATGTGATTCCAGATGGTACTCTGCAACTCAGGAGCAGCTTTTCATGAATATACGTGGCTGTAATAGGCAGGTAATGTGGAAGTGGCTATGTTAGTTAAGATCTCTCTTTTCTTGTTTGAATTTTGCTGTTAATTGTTGTAAATTGCTTTTTATTGTAATTTATTGTTTTAAATCATATGATATTGTTTTAACCTGGCACTTGTGCCCTGTAAGCCGCCCTGAGCCTCCGGG